AAAAAAAAAAAAAGGTTAGGAAAAAAAAACTGTGTAGTCAGGGCTTCCCAAATGCGCGCCCCCGACCTGGAGCCGAGCGCGCCCCCTCCGTTTGTTCCCCTTCTCGGAGCTGATTTTCATGACGTGGAGGAGCCTGATCCAGGGCAGGAGCGGCAGCGCACACACACACACACACACACACGCACACGCACACGCACACGCACACGCACTCACACCCGCGCGGCCCCGCAGCGCCCCGCACCGCGCACAGCCGCGCACGCAGCGCACCGCGCTCCGCCGCTGCTGCCCGGGGAAGGCGGCGGCGGCGCTGGAGCCTGCAGCAGCCCCTCTCCTCCCTCCTCCATTGAGTGTGCCAAACAGCAGCTCTGCATCCTAAAAAGGATCATTGAGGGGCTCATTGCATTCCCAGCACGTTTCAGGCTTGCTTCTTTTTTTTTTTTCCTCTCTCCTTTTTTTTTTTTTTTTTTTTTTTTTTTTTTTTTTTTTTTTTTTTTTTTTTTTCTTTTTTTTTTTTTTTTCCTTTTGCCTCAGCTTCAGCAGGAGTAGAGAGAGAGGGAGAGAGAGCCACAGAGAGGGAGAGGCAGAGACAAACCAGCAATCTTTAAACTCGAGCTTTCTTTTTTTTCCCCTTCCTTTCTTTTGCCTTTTTTTTTATTTTTATTTTTTTTTTAATTTTTTTTTGGTAACGATGTGCTAAAATCTCTCCTGCAAACCGGTAAGTACAACCTTTCTGGATCCTTTTGTTTCCGCCTAGGGTCAAAGACACCCCCCTCTTCCAAAAAGAAGATATAATAATCCTCTTTATTTATTTTTTTATTTTTATTAGAGCCCTTGCAGAAGAGAACTTAAGTGGCTAATATTTTGCAAAGGAGACAGAGAGATTGATACTGCAATATAGCTCTCGTCTCTCTCCCTTCTCCCCAATTAGATGCTGGTTTTAATTGCAGAGGGTATTTCTCTTTTCGTGCTTTCAACCATCTCCTCTTTCCCACAGGGGAGGGTTTCATTTGCAAGTTGATCCTAAGGATTTCCGTTCCTCTGGCATTTCTCTCCCCTAAATGCATCTTTCTGCTCTTAAGTTTACGGATTGAGGGCAATTTTTTCTAGTTCTTGCACGAGGAAGGCAAAAAGGACCTTTTTATTGGGAGATTGAGACTAAAAGCAATGATCGCTCCGAATCATTCTAATGGGCATTTCAGGGATTCAAGGAAGGCTGCATCACCACCGGTATTATTCCCATCCTTAGCGTTTCCCTGTGCCCATACATTTAAAATATCTGGTGAAAGGAAGGGTGAAACCATATGTTGAAGGAGCTGCATCTCATTAGGGCAGTGTTATTTTCATCTGATTGGAGAAGAATGGTGTCTTCATTCGGAATCGTGTATAGTAGGATAGAGAATTTATCGGCTGGTAAGTGTCAAGGTATTTTTTTTCTTCCACTTTCAGCTTTTAAACCGGGTCTCTTGCTTGCTCCTGGGGGCACAAAATGCCCTAATCCAAGGCAGGCTGAGCGTTTCAATCCTAGGTGCCTCTTCAGCTGTCACTTCCCTTTAGATCTGCTGATCGCATGGGCATGTGCTTTAGAAAGATTAATCATCTCTAAATGCTTTAATCAGCTAAAATGACTAATATGTGGTGTGTATTTATCTGATAATATACCAGTTGCATTAATTCACCGTCGCTTTTTGCGAGGGGAAGATTTCCTTCCCGAGCAGGGTCGTTAACCATTTACTCGGGTAAAGATGCTGTGGGGATTTCTGAGGGGAACCGTTCTGCCAGGGACAGCAGCAAAGCTCACACATTCCCTGGAACTCGCGTGTGGAATCTATCGAGCCGGGAGGGAGGGAGATGCGAAGGTGGAGGTTCAATAACTTTGGGAGTTTGCATGGATGAAGGATGTGGTGCGACACCGGAGAAATGTGCCCACACTCGGTGTGATTCCCCCCCTGGAGTCGAGGCAGGCTGTGATGGCTCCCGGGCTAAAACTGCACCCGGGGAGGAGATCCGGGCAGTTCCGAAGCCTGGGAAACGTGGAGAGACGCAACACGTTCGGTGTGCTCGTGGTGCCGTGTGGGGCTGCATGTGCTGTCCTCTTTATAGGTGGCATTTACCACGGGGAGGGGAGCAAGGCAGGCTGCTATCGCGTGATGGAGCCCTCTAACATCTCTCAAGTATAAATCAGGGCAAGGCTCGCCCAGCCGACACCCCTGGAGTTGGTTGGGAACGTCTGCCCAACAACTGCTGAACTTTCCAGGAGCCCGACATGAGTCCAGCAGGTAGGGGCTTAGGAAAAAGAGAGGGGCAAGGCAGAAATACTGAAATCTGTGTTTCTCTTCCCGTTGCAGTTTTGTAAACGTCAACAAATGATGAAACCTTCCACGGCAGAGACGCTTCATAAAGGAAGGATGTTGTGGATAATTCTCCTAAGCACAATTGCCCTAGCATGGACTACACCTATTCCCTTGATAGAGGACTCGGAGGAACTGGATGAGCCTTGCTTTGATCCATGTTACTGTGAAGTGAAGGAAAGCCTTTTCCATATACATTGTGACAACAAGGGATTTATAAATATTAGTCAGATAACAGAGTCGTGGTCGAGACCTTTTAAACTTTATCTGCAAAGGAATTCCATGAGGAAATTGTACACCAACAGTTTTCTTCACTTGAACAATGCTGTATCTATTAACCTTGGGAACAATGCACTGCAGGACATTCAGACAGGGGCTTTTAACGGGCTCCGAGTTCTGAAGAGGTTGTATTTGCACGAAAACAAATTGGACATTTTCAGGAACGACACTTTCCTGGGTTTGGAAAGTCTGGAATATCTGCAGGCAGATTACAATGTCATTAAACGGATTGAAAGCGGGGCATTTCGAAACCTAAGTAAATTGAGGGTCCTTATCCTAAATGACAATCTTATCCCCATGCTTCCCACCAATTTATTTAAGTCTGTGTCCTTAACCCACTTGGACTTGCGGGGGAACCGCCTCAAAGTCCTTTCGTACCGCGGGATGTTGGACCACATTGGCAGGAGCCTGATGGAGATCCAGCTGGAGGAGAACCCGTGGAACTGTACGTGCGAGATTGTACAGCTCAAGAGCTGGCTGGAGCGCATCCCCTACACCGCTCTGGTGGGGGACATCACCTGCGAGACCCCCTTCCACTTCCACGGGAAGGACCTGCGGGAAATCAAGAGAAGCAAGCTCTGCCCCATGCTGTCCGACTCCGAGGTGGAAGCCAGCCTGGGCATCCCTCAGCTGTCCTCCAGCAAGGAGAACGCGTGGCCTACGAAGCCTTCCTCCATGCTGTCCTCCTTCCATTTCACCGCTTCCTCTGTTGAGTACAAAACGTCCAACAAGCAGCCCAAGCCCACCAAGCAGCCCAGGGCGCCCCGGCCTCCCCCGACCCCCCGTGGCCTGTACCCCGGGCCCAACCAACCGCCCGTGGCTGCCTACCAGACCCGGCCCCCCATCCCCATCATCTGCCCCACCGGCTGCTCTTGCAGTTTGCACATCAACGACCTGGGCCTGACGGTCAACTGCAAGGAGCGGGGATTCCACAACATCTCCGAGCTCCTGCCCAGGCCCTTGAACGCCAAGAAGCTGTACCTGAGCGGGAATTTGATCCAGAAAATCTACCGCTCCGATTTCTGGAATTTTTCCTCCTTGGATCTCTTACACCTGGGGAACAACCGGATCTCCTACGTGCAGGACGGGGCGTTCATCAACCTGCCGAACCTCAAGAGCCTGTACCTGAACGGGAACGACATCGAGCGGCTCACCCCGGGCATGTTCCGGGGCCTGCAGAGTTTGCATTACCTGTACTTCGAGTACAACCTGATCAGGGAAATCCAGCCGGCGGCCTTCAGCCTCATGCCCAACCTGAAGCTCCTCTTCCTCAACGACAACCTGCTCCGCACGCTGCCCACCGACGCCTTCGCCGGCACCTCCCTGGCGCGCCTCAACCTGCGCAACAACCACTTCTTGGCGCTGCCGGTGGCCGGGGTGCTGGAGCACCTGCACGCCATCGTGCAGATCGACCTGAAGCTCAACCCCTGGGACTGCACCTGCGAGCTGGTGCCGCTGAAGCAGTGGCTGGAGGCGCTCAGCTCCGTCAGCGTGGTGGGCGAGGTGCTGTGCGCCAGCCCCGAGCCGCTGGCCCGCCGCGACCTGCGCTCGCTGGAGCTGGCCGCGCTGTGCCCCGCCGCGCTGCGCCCCGCCGCCGCCGCCGCCGCCGCCTCGCCGCCCGCCGCCGCCCCGCCGCCGCCCGCCGCCACCGGCGCGGCCGCCTACGAGCTGCCCCCGGCCGCCGCGGCCGCGGCCGTGCCGCTCTCCGTGCTCATCCTCAGCCTCCTCGTCCTCTTCTTCTCCGCCGTGCTGGTGGCCGCCGGGCTCTTCGCCTTCGTGCTGCGCCGCCGCCGGAGGAAGCTGCCGTTCCGCGGCCCGCGGGCGGAGGCGGCGGACCTGGGCGCGGTGCCGCTGCGCTGCCCGCGCCTCTTCCCCGAGGGCGGCGGCGGCGGCGGCGGCGGCGGCGGCGGGGGCGGCCCCGGGGAGCGGTCCCCGGAGAAGGCGCCCCCGGCGGGCCACGTCTACGACTACATCCCGCACCCGGTGACCCAGATGTGCAACAACCCCATCTACAAGCCGCGGGAGGAAGAAGAGGCGGCGGGCGGCGGCGGCGGCGAGGCGGCCGAGCTGCTGCGGGGCGGCGGCGAGCGCGGCTTCGCCCACCCCGCCGCCCCCGCCGCCGCGCCGGAGCCGGTCAGCAGCTACCGCACCTTGCTGGAGAAGGAGCAGGAGTGGAGCCTGGCCGTGTCCAGCTCGCAGCTCAACACCATCGTGGCCGTGCACCCCCAGCACCCCGCGGGCGGAGGGCTGGCGGCGGGCGCGCTCGGGGCGGCGGCGGCGGCGGCGGGGGGAGCCCCGCGGGACCGCGACCGCCCGCCGCCCTGCGCCGTGGGCTTCGTGGACTGCCTGTACGGCACCGTGCCCAAGCTGAAGGAGCTGCACGTCCACCCCCCCGGCATGCAATACCCGGACCTGCAGCAGGACGCCAGGCTGAAGGAGACCCTGCTCTTCGCGGCCGGCAAGGGCTTCCCGGACCACCAAACCCCCACAAGCGAATACCTCGAGTTAAGGGCCAAACTCCAAACCAAGCCGGATTACCTCGAAGTCCTGGAGAAGACCACGTACCGGTTCTGACCGCCGCCCCGCCGCCCGCCCGGCCCCGCCGCCCGCGAGCAGAGGATCCAGCTGTGCGCTCTGCCCCGCCAGATGTGCGCGCTGCGGGGCAGGGCCCTTCTCAGATCAGTAATCGACGAAGTGCCTTCGCAGACTTTTGCCAGCAGATGTTAATCAATCATTATTTTTTTATACTGAAACTGAGACTTTGACTGTGCCATGTCTAAAGGTATATTATTATTATTATAATATTATTATTATTATTATCGGGGATCTTTGTATTGATCCTGATTAAGTAAATTCTATGTGTGTCTCTTTCTCTCTTTTTTCTTTTTTTTTTTTTTTTTTTTTTTTTTTGTTTTGTTTTTTGTTTTTTTTTTTTTTTTCTCCCCTTTTTTATTTATTTTTTTTTCCGTTGGCAGTAGACTTCCTTGATATTTTCCCTTGGAGGGGAGGGGGAGGGAAGATGGCATTTTCTTGGCCTGCTTTCTTCTTGCCCATCATGGCACAGATTCTGTACATTTATTTAACAGAGAGAGAGAAAAAAAAATAATAATGCAAAGAAGCAAACGAGCGCAGTTTGCTGCATGCCTGGAAACTGCAAGAGGGAAGGGAGGGGAGGGTCTTGCTCGAATGTCTCACTCTTGTCTCCCTCCCTCCCTCGCACGCACACTCCTCGCCCTCACCCTCCTCGCACCCCTCGCCAGCCCAGCCCCGCCAGGGGGGCTCGGGGGTCGCGGGGGGATCCCGGGGGCAGCCCCGGGGGCTGGGGGAAGCCACCCGGAGCCGAGCAGCCCAAAGGATGTCACCACGTGGCGCACACACCTAGGGGGATGCTCAGTGACACTTCATCATGACGCCATGGTTTTTTGGAGGACATCCGCACTTTCCTAATAAAAGCGACATGCAAATATGCAGAGAAAAAGAGGAGAAAAAAAAAAAAAAAAAAAAAAAAAAAAAAAAAAAAAGGAGAAAAAAAAAAAAAAAAACAAACCAAAAGCTAATGGGCACCTCTCACTAACAGCTTTGTAAGGAAGCACTTTTAATGTTTTCTCTCATGCACCCATACACGCACACACGCACACACACACAAAGGTACAACAATGTGCATATATTTATTCTGTAATTTCAAGTGAATATAAATTGTAAAGGTAATGTTAAATCATTGTACAGTGATGCGTCTGGTATAGCTTTCCTAATAAAACGTTTTGAAAAAAATTGCAGATATATATATATATATATATAGACCCCCAAATATATATATATATATAGGAATACAAAGCTTGAACCTGAAACTTCAGCTTCCTCCACAGAGATTTCCTTCCCCCCCATAACCTTGAACGCTATTTTATTAATAACAGTTCAATGCACTGTGATGTTAACAGAGAAAAAACCCTGTACAGCGTGTCTTGCCAAGATACCACCCGAGACTGTCACAAATCCGATTTGCGATCTGTATCCCTGCCGCACTGTCCTGACAGTTAAAAATATCGGGAAAATTGGGAGCGCATCCCTCCGGAGCGCTGGTTCCCGGCCTGCTGGAGGCACCGGGAGGCATCGCAGGGATGCTGCCGGTGCTGGCAGCGGGATGAGCAATTAGAGAGCTCCCACCCCTCCGGAGCGGGGATTTTAACCGCATTTCCAGTTTGGAATGCAAATAAAAAAAACAAGCATCCCAGCGGCCGCGCCGCGCTTCTCCCACTCCCTCCGCAACCGGAGGGAGACCAAAGGCCATGGGATTCCATGGGATTCCATGGGATTCCATGGGATTCCATGGGATTTCCCTGCCCGGGCGGGTCCCGGTTGGTATCTTGTCCGCGTTGGTGTCCGGTCCCCGGCGGTGTCCGTCTGTCCCGGCGGTGTCCCCCTGTCCCTCTCTGTCCCTCTGTCCCGCTCTGTCCGTCTGTCCCGGTTCTGTCCATCTGTCCCGTCTCTGTCCCGGCTCTGTCCCGGTTCTGTCTGTCTGTCCCGGCTCTGTCCCGGCTCTGTCCCTGTTCTGTCCCGGTTCTGTCCATCTGTCCCTCTCTGTCCCGGTTCTGTCCCGCTGCCCCTCTCTGTCCCGGTTCTGTCCCGGTTCTGTCCATCTGTCCCTCTCTGTCCCGGTTCTGTCCCGCTGTCCCTCTCTGTCCCGGTTCTGTCCCGGTTCTGTCCCGGTTCTGTCCATCTGTCCCTCTCTGTCCTGGTTCTGTCTGTCTGTCCCGGCTCTGTCCCGTCTCTGTCCCGGTTCTGTCCCGGTTCTGTCTGTCTGTCCCGGCTCTGTCCCGGCTCTGTCCTGGCTCTGTCCCGGCTCTGTCCCGGTTCTGTCTGTCTGTCCCGTCTCTGTCCCGTCTCTGTCCCGGTTCTGTCCCGGTTCTGTCTGTCTGTCCCGGCTCTGTCCCGGTTCTGTCCCGGCTCTGTCCCTCTCTGTCCCTCTCTGTCCCGGCTCTGTCCCGGTTCTGTCCCGGTTCTGTCCCGCTGTCCCGGCTCGGTCCCGCTGTCCCGGGCGCGGAGCGCGGCCCCTCTCGGCCGCCAGGTGGCGCCGCAGCCCCAGCGCTGAGGCGGCGGCGGGGCCGGTGCGCCCGGGCTCGGTGCCGGGATCGATCCCGGGATTGATCCGGGATTCCATCCCGGACCCGATCCCGGATTCCATCCCGGGCCCGCTCCCGGCCTGGAGCCGCTCCCTGTCCCCGTCCGCCGCTCAGAATGCACCTGCCTTGAGAGCCCCAGAGAATGGGGCTTATCCAGAAATCCCAACGCGCCCTTCCCTCAGACCATTTGCTGAGCAGCCGGCAGGGTGAATTGAGGTTATTCCCCCAAAAGTGCTGCTGGGAGCGCTCCTGCCGATGGGAGCGGGGTCTGTCACCTCCTGGTGACATTGGTCACCTCTCGGTCACATCGCCGAGGTGCCCCTGCCCACCACCTGCCCTCTTTCCTTGGGGAACAACCCCTCACAATGCGTTCTCACAGAAATAAACCCATAAATGATTGTTGTCCCCACAAAGTTGCCATGTACAGCTCCAGGCAGGATGCTCGTGGCGAGCTTTTTTCTCTTGGAGGTTCATTTCCCCAGCCTTGGTAGCAGCCGTGTGTGTCTGGAGAAGGGGGGACAGCTCCGAGCCTCTGTGACTCTGGCATCACCCTCCATGCCGGCAGTAAAAATATTGCACATTGCAATTTGCTCTGTTGAGTCGAGATTGTGTTTCCTCACTGCTGCCTTCAGCTCTGACCCGTTGGGGTTTGCTCATTTGTTTGTTTTGTTGAGTTTTTAATAGATAGTGGAAGAGCATGCACGTGCTAAGAGTATTAAACATGCGAGTGCAAAGGCCAGATCCTTCTTGCCATAATTGTAATAATTACATTGATAAGCCTACATGCAAGTGATGCGTGGAGCTGTATAAATCAGGTTAAAGTACAACCCCCAGTGAGAGTGGTGCTGTATACATTTGGCAATGTCCTCAAAACCCCAAGTGTTCATACTTGTATCCAAATAGAGTAAAGCCGGTTGCAAATAATGTTTATATTTTAATTAAACTGCAGAAAGGCAAGAGAATTTCATCCTTACTATTGGCAGTAATCTCACCCATGGACAGTGAGCAGATCTATTTATTCAGTGGAAATAAATTTGTTCTATGAGAATGGAATTTTGTATTAAAAGAGATAATTTTTGGCTTACGTTGAGTTATTTTTCTTTCCTTGCGTAGGAAACTTCCTTTTCCTTGTGAACTGAGATGATTTGGGGATGATTTGCTCTGGAAGTGTTGACAATGTCTAAGTGTGATGTCTAAAGGGTGTTTTGATGACTTTTATTTTGCTTTTTCATTGTGTTGAGCTGAGGCTGAGTGGGTAGCAGCATTCCTTTCCCACTGGAGGAAAGAAAAGTGGATCCATCATCTCTGACCTGCAGTGGGTGACACTTTGCATGCTCCAACCCAGATTCCTCCTAATTAATAGGGAGTATTAATGATAATTCTGTCTTTATCAGCAGTAGCATTGGTAGCATTAATGCTACTGGGAAGGAATCAAATAAAGTCAAATGATCTGCAGTTGAATTAGAGCTGTTTGATGGGATACAATGTGAAATAAATATTTTATTTTAGCTGATTTCATGGTTGTACAAGTACCTGGTGTCAGCCTGAGCAGCTCAGCCTGTGGAAGTAAAACCTGCAGCAAGTGTTTGGTTTATTCCCTCACTGACCATTGAAATTTTTCCTACAGGTGGAAAAGGTAAGCCAGGTAAGCCAGGTAAGCCCCAGTGCCAGCCAACAACTGCACACAGGGAAATGGAAAGGATGATCCTGGTGCTCAATTGTTGGTGCTTTTTGTGTTTTCTGGACATTGTCATTGATGTCACCATCACATTGTACCCTAGTTTAAAAATTCCTTTGGAAATGGCTTCACGGATCTCTTGAGTGTATCAACAGGGATAGAACGATGTCAAAAGTTATGGGATGAGTAATAATCTGAATTATGGAAAGCCTGTTGCCTACTGCTGTGATTAGAGTGTTACTGGAGAGTGAGAATCTCATTCCTTAGGAGATTCAGCGAGCATGAGTTAAGCTGTGGCAGCTCCAGATTTTGTCAGAGACCTTTCCAGACAAAACCACCTTTGAGTGTGGCAGCACAGCTGATTTGGTTTTAAACCAGAAATATCTGGGTTTGTCCAGCTTGTGTTCTCTGGGAGAACTTTGAGAGCACCAGAAGGGAAAGGTCTCTCCAAAATGTGAGGCTGCTCTTCTGAAGTACTTGGGTGTGCAAAGTGCTTGATGATCTCTGTGCTGATTCCACTTGCTTCCAGCACCCACTCCACACCAAGAAGATGCCACGCTTGGGGTTGAGGTTTAACAGAAATGTTCACGTGAAGAGCAGCGTGTAGAAATGTAGAATTTGGCCCTAAGTGTGGGAGTTCATTGCTCAGGACATTTCTTTACCACGGGTGTGACTCCTGGCAGCGCTCCCACCACTCCAGGGTGAACTTGTTCCAGGATTGCCATTCATCCAAAGGCACTGGCTTTTACAACGTGGATTTATGGACACGGGGAAATCAGCCTGCTGTGTGCTGCATATTCCTATTTTCTGAGTTTTTCCGAGGCTTGGTTTTCAATCTGCAGCTGAGGTTCTCCGTGAATTTATGTCTGTATGTATTTGCGTGCACACAATTATGTATTTATACTGTACACAGTACCACACAGTTTTTCTCCATGGAAGAAATGCAAATTTACCCAGGATGTAGCTCACAACAGCTCTTTGTGAAAAAAATCCTATTTTTTAATTCTGATATGAATGGAAATATTTTTTTCCAGTTCTTGAAATATTTCTGGTTTGATTGGGCAGTGGAAGAATTGGAATGTGCTTGGAAAGAACCCTCGAGTGGGAATGAGTAGAGGCCCAGTTCTGTTCCCTTGGAATCCAATGTTGAAACCCCATTATGCTCAGTTTTAGTCAACAGACTTGAATGAAGAGCAAAATCTGATCTCAGAAAATTACAACATCTATTAAGTGGATTCAAGTATTTTGAGACAAGTACTCCATGGGACTGTTTCAGAATAAAATTAGTAATGGTACAGAGAAAATGAGTTTGCCATCAATTCAATAATTCTCTGATTGACCTCACTCACAAATTAACCAAACAATCTTTAAGGCTTTTGATTTGAAAGACAAATTTGTTTAGCTCAAATGTCATTGGTGACCAACTAGCCAAGATTAATAATGCAACAATTGCAAATTATTTAGAAATACTTTGTTAGTATTATCTTTTTCTTTGAGAGCAAGGATATGAAGGTCCCTTCCAACCCAGGGAATCTGTATTTCTGTGACTGACAGGCACTGAAAACTGTGTTTCCTAGAACTTCTTTAAAATGTCTTTTCCTTGTTCCTTACAGTTTTCCAGTTGTAAAATTCTGTCATTATCTCATTTTTGTTCAGGTTTTTGGGGCAGTTTGGCAGATTTCTATGAAAGCATTGACTTTTCTCAGAGAGCAAAGCACAGAGTTCCCCAGGAGGCTGCTGGGGTGACACTTGCAGGTTATTTTTGATCCCTGTGGAAGTGTTTGGAAACACTTCCCTGTGGTGGCATTTTCTCTGCTAAATTGGTCAGTAATTTGGTTTTTCTCAGGATAGTGTCAGATGGATCATTTTTGTGGGAAAATGAGAGGAAAAGGCTCAAAGAGCAGAGCTGCAGGAATGCTGGGTGGTCTCTGTAGGGTGGGTGGTGCATCAATCCCGATATTTCTGAATGTTAAGGCTGTGGATCTGAAGTGTGGGGTTTATTTTAATTAGAGGTGTGGACATGCAATACTCAGCTTTAGGGTGCCTTAAACAGAAGAACAGAGGGCAGAGCAAATATGAAATATTCATGACCAAGTCCTATGTACTGTGTCCTGAATCTTTAATGTCCATTTACTTTTCCTAACATCTTTATTTTTCCACTAGAACTTTCTAAATCTCTCAAGAATATCCTATACATTCTGTGAATCCTGAAGAGGTATTTCAGGTTAGCCAAGGAATGACTCTCTCTGTACTTGGGAATTCCAACAAATGCCACTACCTGTGGAGGAATATCCTGCCCATGGCATGGGGCACAGCAATTTGGCTGGTCCTTGGAGCACGGTGCCAGGGAGGGAGGTTCTCTGCACTGCTCAGATTTTGCAGTAGGGCTCGAATGATTCCAAGCAGGAATTCCTGAATTGTGACAAATCACTTTTTTGGAATGGGAAAGAACTTCATTTGTGCTGCTGCTTCTGGTGGCACAGCCATCCCTGCTGGTGGTGGTGGCACCCAGCACCATTCCTGAGGAGGGGCTCCTGCGACAGGTACTCTAAAAACCAACCAAACAACCAAAAAAATAAAGCTGAAGAAGAATTTGGGCATTTTTGTCCTACAGGAACCTTAGCTGAAGTTAGAGACATTCCCCAAATGTTATAGTGGCATTAATATACTGTTTATGAGGGTTTTATGCATTTTTTTTTTCTTGCTTTCCTTTGCTGTTCCAGAGACAGTAGATGGGTTACACCTTACAGAATTGCAGGAATGTACTTGTTGATCATTTTTTCAGGCTGTACTTGTTTAAAACTAAGTCAGTCCCAACTGTAACTGTCCTAAACTGAGTTTTATAGAAAGATACATAAACCTTTGGTTCTCTGCTTGGTCTCTAAATTATTTTATGTGTTTCAATATATATATAAAATGTCCATTATCTAAATAACCCTTGAACCAAAGTCTGTCTTTGAACTTTGGAGGCTTTGGCTTTGCAAATCAGAGCTAATTAATGGGTTGGATTGTCGGTTTGTTGGTTTGTTTATTTTTTGTTTGTTTGTTTGTTTGTTTGTTTTGTTCTGTGATTGTTCAGTTTGATTTTATCACTGGTATGACCAGAGAGAGAGAAACATAGCAGTGTGAAAATTCTCATAACAGGACTTCAATTATTGTGCTTCTTTTCTTTGGAGAGTGAAGGAGCTCTGCTCCAAAGGGTGTAGGAACTGCTGCTCAGAGCTGAAATATCTTCACTCTGCTGTGCCCTGGCAGTGCCCAGCACGGTCTGGCTCAAAGGCAAATGCTAGAAATGCCAATTAGTGAGATTTCAGTGTTGAATGGGCCAGCCAAACTGCTCCACCCGACAAATCCAGTCCTTGTGGTCCTGCACCACTGGAGACACCAGGTCTGTGTGTGCTGGGAGCACTGAGAAAATTCACATTGTGCTGCTTTGGTGAAAAATGAGCTTTACAAAAATCAGGCATCGGTAATGGACGCTGGCCAGTTAAGTTTGCCTGTCTTTTTTAGGGAGCACATCCAGGTTTCTCTGGTGCTGTTAAACTGCCATGCAAGGGCAGGACTGACCAGCTGTCCCCAAAGCACTGCTGGAATAAATCTGTAGCTAAATGCATTCTTCTTAATCAGAGAGACATTTCCTGTGGCATCACTTCTGTTATGTTTTCTTGCAGTGATCCAAAAGCCTGGCTGCTTTGGAAAGTGGATAGTATTGGCAAGCAAAGAAATATGGCAAGTAAAAAGTCTTTTTTAGATCCAGTTGATGTCAGTGTTTTCTTCAAAAAAAAAGGGCAAGTCACAGCCCTGAGGGGTCCTGAGGAGGAGTCAAGGCACTGATTAAGGCAGAGAGTAATTGTTCAGTCCATGCTTAATTCTCCCCTTCAGTTTTAAACCAATGAAAATCAAATGCCTCTCGCTGGCTTCGACACAGCCAATAACTACATTATATTCCTGTTGCAAACCCTGATTTTAGAGCAGGTAACAAACAGCTCCCACACCCTATTTTTCCTGCTTTTAGCCCAAACTCTCACCAGCCTGCAGGTCACTGGCATCCCCAAAATTTCTTTCACCTGTCTGCATGCACAGATCCTCCTTGGGTTTAGCAAACACCCTGACCCCTCTGTTTGTGCCTGGAGTGGAGACCAGCTGAAAACACAATTCTCTCTGTTGGGTTTTTCTGTAGAGTGGTGTATTGCACCTCGAGACCTCCCTGTGCCCCGCCTGGAGTGCCCTCAGCTCGCTGGCAGCCTGGCCAGCTTGGCCATGGTGATGTCCCAGGTTTGGCCAACCAGAGTCTGTCCAAGCCTTCAGAGCACAAAGCCCTGGTGAGAAGGATCTCTAACAGGTACGCATCAGGGAGAAGGAGGAGACCTTCCCAAAATTACTTGCTGTCAGCTCCAAGCAGGAGCGAGTGCCTCGTGTGTCACGGAAACGCTGAGTATCTGCTGTGCCTACTGTGTGTATATCTGAGTATGTACCTATAATTACACTATTGAAGTGTAAAATTCGAGCTTTGCAAACTTCTGGGAGGTTCAGGAATGTGGCTTGCTTTGGGCTGTAATTAAAATACGGGCATTTTGGTTTAAAAATAGCTCCTTTCCGACCTACATTCCCGATGTAGGTCAGTGGAGGCACTTCTCAGACATATTAGCATTTTGGACACTTAATCTTAGCAGCATATTGCATCTCCTAGAATAGGTTAGGAGAGGCAAGGCAGGAGGAACTGCTGCATCTCCAGTCACCCAGAGAGGTTGCCAAGTTTCTCAGGCACCAGAGAGGCAGAATAATGAGGATTATATTTAATTCTGGGCTGGAGAGACAACCGTGGGGTGTTGAGCAGAGGCAGCTCGGATCATCTTGGCTCTGTGGGGGAGGGAGAATTTATAACTCTAGCTGGCTCCAAAGCAAGCTGTGTGTGCATTTGCGTGTGTATATATATTTATATATATGTATATACAAATCTGGATGTGTATATAACACCCTGTGTACATATGTATGTATGTATGTATATGCCTACAGTGTACAAAATGTGTATCTATAGAAATGTATACATTTATATGAATTTCTATTTCTCTATATAAATAGTCATGCAACTAGGGGAAATCACATTTCCACGGCGTGACCTTTTCTGTAACACTCCCCCAAAAAGAAGCTGCTTCCATTAATGTCATATTGGCACAAATGACTTAAATTTTCTTTTCTGTTTTGAAAGGAGTGGTGCTTAGTGCCTGAGCACAAGCCTGGAAGGTTTTTACACTTCCAGAGGACTTCCAGTAAATCATGACTTGCTCCAGAGCTGTTCCACATTCGTGAAATAAAGTGGTGGCCAAAATGACTCAGGGCTGGTTTTATAGGCAAAGGAAAGGGGTTGTTGAGTGTGCATTGGAAACCTCTGCCATGTTCTCAGAGTTCTGATGGTGAAATACCTGCACTGCTAATTACTCTGGTTGCTGTTAATTTCCCAGCAACTGGCTTGAACAGGGGAAAAAAAAAATCCTGCTCTAAAGTTAAGTTATCTGAAGTTTGATTATGTTGCCTCAGTGATGTATGGATTTCCAATTAGGGTCAGGATGCTGGGCTGTAAATCAAGAATTTGAGCTCAGTAAACATCTAGTTTGGGATGTGTCTTTTCTGTTCTAATTGATTTTAAATCATTTCAATTCATCATCAGAACAAGCTATACCTTAATTCATGATAAGCTCAAAGAATTTCTCATTCATATCAGGGTGAATTTTGCACTTGACTTCGGTGGGGCTGAACGAGGTCAGAGCGTTTCATTCAGCACTGGCATAAAAAACAATCTTGTAGTTGTGCAACTATTAATTCAAATTGTAATTTTGTAATAAAAGCAGCCTAAAAATGAATTGCTAGTTATGTATTCTATGGTTATAGCACCTTCCTGTGGATGTGTTGGAGCTGGTGTTGGTTTTCATTTTGAGTTGCTGATCCTAACTCTGAGTTTGGCCCCGAGCAGAGCCAGAAGTGGCTCAGCCTTGGGAATACCAGACCATAAAACGCTGCATTTGAAAGGAAAACCTGGAGAGAACTGATCCCTCAGCATTCCTTGAGCTGTGTGCCCAGGAGTGCTGCCTGATTGCTGAATTGCCACATGCACTGTGCAAATATTCCAAGAGATGTAGGTCATGGGAGCGTGGATTTGTCACGGGGGTTTTGGCTCCCTGTGGCAGAACCCTTGTCTGATCCTGCAGAAAAACCTCCCTGTGCCTCCACCCTGACTGAATATTCCCATTCCTGGTCCTTGGGGCAGGGTGGAAATGTCCTGCTGCCCTTCTGCCATCGTTTGCAAGCCGGGATGTGATTAAGAAAGAAAAAAGGGAGAATGGATTATTCCTTCCTAAGCCCTGCACTTCCTTCAGGAGGAAGACAGACAAACATGAAATCACCGTGGAAATCAAAACAAACACCCAGAACATATGACATTGAGTGAAATGTTTCTCCTGAGCTTCTGGATTGTGCTTTGCCTTATTATTTCATCTGGAGGAAATCAGCAGTTTATGGAAAAGTGCTTCCCAATCTCTTTTGCATAAACGTTACAGTGAAGCTTCTGTGATGTATAGCTGCCTGTTCAAGAAAATGGGTCATTTCCATACAAATGTCATATTTCTATGCAGAAAATATGCTGAATTCATACCCTATCTCCTAGTCAAAGCAATCCCTTTGCTGGTTTTGTGATTTCAGCATATTTTTCTGACTGGAAACAACCAGAAAAGGAGAAGAAAAAATTATTATTTTTTAATTAACTCATGCAGGCCTAATGTCAGACTGAGCACTTGAGTGCAGCATCCCTGGGGCACATACAGGAATATCATCCTCCAATGGTTAATTTCCTTTTTTGAGCAGGGTGAAACACAGAGCTCAGAGAGAGTCTGGAGACTTGGGGAAAGAAGTTTTTCTGATGTCACTGTTAAAGAAGATGCCTGGATGTCCCTGTCCTCAGGGGAGCAGCCTTTCACACAGGAACCCACAGGCTGAGGGCAGCAGGGGAGCGATGAGCTTTGCAAATCTCCTCACACTCTGCAGCAATCTCCTCCTCTCAGGATGAATTTCATGGAAAATGAACCTGAGCTCCTGGCACTGCTGCTCAAAAGAAGCCACAAACCCACCCTGCCTCGGGAAAGTTGAATTTTCCATGCCACTTTATATCTGGAAAAGGAACAGTGGGCTTTAGGATGGGAGTTACAAGCTGAGTGGATGCTAGAGATGGACAGCCAAAGAAATGCTGTGGCCCAAAGCCTGCAGTGCTTGGTGTAAATCCTCAGAGCCTCACTGCTCCTGGTGTAAATCCTCAAACCCCACTCCTGGTGTAAATCCTCAGACCCCTCTTCTGGTGTAAGTCCTCAGAACCCTCTTCTGGTGTAAGTCCTCAGAACCCACTGCTCCTGGTGTAAATCCTCAGAGCCCACTGCTCCTGGTAGAAATCCACTGCTCCTGGTGGAAATCCTCTAAGCCCCACTCCTCCTGGTGTAAATCCTCAGACCCCACTCCTCCTGGTGTAAATCCTCAGAGCCCCACTGCTCCTGCTGTAAATCCACTGCTCCTGCTGTAAATCCACTACTCCTGGTGTAAATCCACTACTCCTGGTGTAAATCCTCCAAGCCCAGCCCAGCAGTGCTGCTGCCCTGTGCTGCTCAGGTGACACGAGGTGTTTGCTCCCTGCTGCTGGAGCTTTCCAAGCAGCCATTATTATTCCTTGAAATAATTAAGATGAGTCTGCCCAACTTCTCAGCTCGTGTGAGCTCCAGCCAGCAAAGTCCTCGGGCTGCTTCCCTCTGCCAGAGGCGTTTTTCTGCCTCTCACCCATGGGAATGTGAAGAAGTCCCTGCTGTGGGATGGCCTTTGGTGGCACAAGTGTCCCCAGGCCCCTGGACAGGCTGGGAATTCACAAGGGGTTTTCAGGCTCCTGTTCAACCTCTACACCCACCTAAAAGCTGCTCCTGTCCTTGTGTGCTGGGGAAAAAAAAAATCTCTAAGGAAATCTCCTTTTACTAAATCCTTCTTAAACCAAGTAAAGATATTTCACAGTAATAAGAAGGATAAAGCTCTATAGAACACATTATATTAATAAATCAGCAGGTATTGACCACCTTGTCTGGAGTGTAAGACACAACTGCCAATTTTTCCTCTGACAAAATGCTTTCCTCCTCCTCCCCCTGGGAATCTTTTTGGTGCAGATTCATCCAACTTTGGTGAGAAACACTTTGTCCCCAAAGTAGCAAATGGGAAAGGAAAGGGATCCTAAGAGATTTGTGTCTGGAGGAGAGCAAAACATTCCCAGGAAGAGGCCCCACTTACCCTACCTGCAGCTTTGGGGGATTGTGTTGTACCTAAACACCAAGATATTTAAAATTAGAGTTTAACTGGAATTAAACTTCTGTTCCCAATTTCCTATCTCCATGGGGAAGACAGTGAAAATTTCTTTTCTCATAAAAACATTATGAGTATAATACGTGTTACTTGATGTCCAGATCCTCTATTTAATGAAACTTTGCAGATATACAAAAAAGGGGAAATTTTGTTACTGGCATTTCTTTCTATAAGAAAGGTTTTAAGAATTAAGTAAAAATTAAACAAACAAGAAAATACATTATTAATATAAAAATAATTATTAGCATGCCAAAATAATACACTATGGCATTAAATCACTGACAGATCTGGGTAGAGATGTGTTAGGATGAAGTTCTGAACACTTAAGGCTGTGATTAAGTTCCTG